CCCTCACCCCGAACACCCCTTCACCATCACCACCACCACCACAAACAGCAGCAGCAGCAACAACAACAATAGCAATAACAACACCCGACCAAGAACCACCTTCCACCCCCACAAACCTTCCCCTAACCCCGAACAAAGCTACCCCCGCTTCACCCCCCGACGCACCATCTTCGTGCAGAACCTCAGCCCAACAACCACAGCCCACGATCTGAGCCTCTTCCTGCAGGACGCAGGGACCATCGAGCAGTGCGAGATGCCCGTGAACCCAGACACAGGCCGATGCAAGGGTTTCGCGCGCGTCACCTTCCGCACCGCGGACGAGGCCAAGCGCGCCATCGCGCTGTATAACACCGCCTTTTTCCTCGGCGCGAAGATCAGGGTGAAGATCGATCGGAGTGGGTATTTTCCTTCGGCGTATACCAATGGTCATGGTCAGGGCTATGGTCGGGGTTATGCTGGTCGGGAAGTGTACGCTCTAGCGAATGTGCCGCCGGCGCCGTCGTCGAATAGACTCAACTCCCCTGAGAAGAAGACGGTTCAGGCCGAAGGTATGACTCCAGCGCTGGGCCCGAGGACTGCGGATAGGAACAGTGGGCGGGAGAAGGAGAGGGACAGGGGGAGGGATAGATGTCAGCCACTTGTGGTGAATGGGTCCGGACTGGGCAGCAAGGGGGCGCTGGTGACTTGATCATCTCCTCTTCTCTTCTCTGCACTGTCGATTCCATAGCATCTGGGTGTTTGAGGCCTGTTGGCGTGTATGTATACTTGCTCTTCCTTTCTTTCTTTATCTGTGTCTCTGCTGAGTTGGGTTGGGGTTGATTGTCTGCATCATCTGAGTGTTTCACCCATGCAATTGCTGCTCGGCGTCAGGGAGAGTTCATAGAATAGGTGGACGTCGCATCTGCCGAATTCCAAAAGTTCATTGCCTAGACTAGTTAACAGTTAAGTCATCATTCATCAATCGTTCTGGTCTAACAATACATGCATTTCATCCCGATCCATTTCAACCCATCTTAGCGTCTCTTTTCCTTGCCTCATTATTCATTCAGTATAACAGATCAGTTCGGTATGGCATGAGCAAGCAGAAAGCCTTCGGGTAGCCACAATAAACCACAGAGGGAAACATAACCCAATTGGGCTTTAGAAAAGAAAAAAAAAAGCCCAAATATGCAAGCAGGAGATAATACATGTTACCTAGTATGTTACATGGTTAATACGGAGTGGTAACGACCGACAGGCCTACCTTATTTAGCATGATCAATCAGCTCCGCATAGAGAGCATCAGGAATCTTCCGGACAATGAGGACGGTCAAGGCAATGATCTCCTTTGCGTCGAGCGGCGGGAAGGACCGGAGGATCTTGTTTGGGCTGTGTGATTGGTCAGAATCGATTCGTCCATGCATAGCAATATGATATGTGGCTTGTTGATATTGCTCACATGCGGGAAAGAAAACATACCTTGGACTATCGAGGATGGTATCCCTCATCCGGATGAGCTGTGCAACGATGCATAGAATATTCAGGTGTGGGCCGTACGCGAAGAGGAAATCCCACAGATGGAGCACCTCGGGCAGTGGCGGCGTGCAGGCGCACAGTGTCAACACAGACGGAAAGGCGTAGAGCTCCGCTTGCATCCCCTTGGAGAAGAGATAGGCGGAGAGCTTAGGCTCGACGATCTCGAGGCAACGATCGACCAGCCGCAGACCCCGGTGGACGCCGTCCATTGCGCCGCGGATATAGCCTGGGCATTCGCGGGTAATGAAGTAGTGAAACAGGGAGAAGGCCTCGACTTCGCTGCGCGCCACGTAGAGAAAGGGCGCGCACAGTACGTTCATCCCCTGCACGTAGATCGCCGACTCGCTGGTGATGGCATCGCTGCTGGGTGTTGCCGTGAGGAGGTTGGCATTGTCGTCAGTAGGCTCCTCTTCTGCGATGCTCGGTGGTGTGTTGATCAAAAGTTCCATTTCCCGTCTGCGGGAGGTCGATAGGCGCGATTTCGGTCGCTTTTTGGCCTTCGCATCGTGGATCTTCCATGCTATGGCGTTGAGGAGCCGGATCAGACTGGCTTCGGTGACGCGTCGCTTGAACAGGGGATCGGTTGCTAGGGTGCGGAATGTGTCGTTACGGATCTTGGTATAAGCCGGCGAACGACCGCGATGAATGAGTGAGAGGTATTCGTCGGTTGGTAGGGGAGGGATATCGAGTAGTGTGAGCCATAGGTAAACGCGATATGTCGACTAGAACAGACATGTTAGCATGGCAGGCTCGTTCTCCGCCTAGAGGTCATGGCGCTATTGCAAATATTGACATACCATGCCATCACCATCCGCTTCCACCCTCGTCGACAGGACAAGGTATCTCAGCTCCTTCAATGCATCCTCGACGTCCCCGTTCTGCGGCCCATCCCGCAGCAGTGTCTCCAAGACTGATCTCTTGATCCCGAACCCCGAGCCTGTCTTCCTCCCCGATCGTTTCTGAGTCTGTAAAATGGGTCGCTCACCCGAGCCGGCGTCACTATTTGATCTCGCTCGACGGTGTGTGCGCAGCCGGACAGGGGAATCCAAGTGTGCCTGTTGCGACAGCTCCTCAGCGTTGGCGGACGAGCGCGCAGTGGAAAGATGTGATGTCTGACCGCTAAACACAGAAGGATTCGACGAAAGGATCTGATGCGATTGTATCTTCCGTAAAGTTCGCATCGTCCGGGGTGAAGGAGAGCCAGAGCCCGCAAGAGCGGCTAGATTCAGCTGGGCTTGTGTTGGCTGGGACATGGCTGGTCCTGTATGACTATGGAACGGGTTTGTTTTTCAGCGCAAATAATCTCTGCTGAAACGGTCACAGGAAGTGACCATCTTCCTGGCGACGAGGACAACAGCCAAGAAAGGATGAGAAGAGAGGAACAAGTAATCCGTCGTTCGCTTTCAGTGCCGAGTATCTAGTGGTGTATCCGGGGATAAGAAAAGTACTAGATGCAGGTTCGGACGATCAGCAACCAATGTGACACTGAATCTCTGGGCATGGCGGGCTTTTTCCCGATCGAGGAATGCGGGGACACGCGACGCGCCACAAATGGATTGTTTGATGTTTGATGATTTAACCAGGAGATGCAGTTTTAGTTCTTCTTCAGTTTGACTAGACTAGATTTATTTTCCAGATATCATTCTTGGGAAAAACGAGGTAGTCTAAGATATGGTGGTTGTCTTTGACCTGTGTCAATGGATACTTTGGGTCCCTGTAAATAACCCGTCGGCCCGCCAACAATGAAACGTCATTTGTAGAAGCAAGTCATGGATATCTCGAATTCTGTAGGATCCTATGCAATCAGCAAGAATACAGGTCGTCACACGGCTTCCAGAGCCAAGCATCAAGTATACATCGGATATATCAAAACACAATCTCGCCGCCTCTCCAAAACGCCATGTCCAAAATCGCAGTGACCGAACCAGCTTGCGATGAATGTGTTCTATCTCGCGGCGGTATCAGGGTCACGGCGCCCGCTTGTTGATCCTCCTATGGTGCTATCAACAAACTCCTGATATCGAAACACCTCCCCTCTTTTTCCTGCTCCAGACAGTTTCCCGGCTTTCCCACCGAATACTCTACGTCCGGTGAATCCACTCAATACCTCGTTGATGTCCCTCTCCGTCAGCGGTGGCTGTCCATCTTCCGACGCTGTGTGTATGAGGGTATCGCGTAGCTCTGCAACATCGATTTGTCCGCTATCATCATCGTCAAAAGCAGCCAAGGCATTCATCAATTCTTGGCGAGAAGAAAGAGGCGCAAGTAGACTAGATAAGATATTCAGAAATGTAGGAAAATTGATCGTCTGGGTGCTTCCTGGAGGGAAAAATTGCGAGACCACCGAGGCATCCTGGCCTGCGTCGTGACTCGAGTTAGTCCAACCTCTTTGAACCGCAAAGAAAAGAAGTTGACTCACCGATATTCACAAGTACATCAGCTACATCGTCCTTGTTCACGGACCCATCGTTGTCTCTATCAAGGACTTGGAATGCCTCGCGAATTTCCCTCAACTGTGTCGGCGTCAATCTGGCAGCTGCATCGCTCGAAGCAGCCATCATGCTGGCAGTCTTTGCTTCCATGATGGAGGAGGAATCATCGGGGGCGTCTGCTCCCTTGGTTGGCGAGGGCGGCAACTCCCTGGTGAAATTGGGTTGTGGGATTGGGTCATTGCTCTTCGTAGAAGACCCATCATTGTCTGCGACTGTATATGTCTGGTTCAACTTGCTCGGTGACTGTGCTGGGGTATACCCTCGCCCCGGGGAGCTTCCTGCAGTTCCTGGTGTGCTGGGACGGATCTGTGTGGGCGGCGAGTTGGATGTAGATGGTCGACGAAAGGGGGAAGCTCGAGGAGACCCGAAGGATAAGGGCGATGGTCGGAAGGGCGTATTTGAAACCTGCAATACTCTTGGTCAGGGTGATATGATCTCGCTATCAGCTGTTGCGGTGAGGGGAAGCAGCACACCATGATATGATAGCTTTGTGAATTCTGATTTAGACAATTTTCGAGAAGTTCTAAATATTCTCTTTAGATTATACTTCAGAGTTTCAATCAGGAACAAGAGCAAGCAGTACGGGGTCAGCAATTTGCAATGGATGATGGGGTTATCTGCATCTACAAGGCGATACCGTAACCATGCATACAACCACGCAAACAAACAAAACAGGGAGTGGATGATGACGGCATAAAGTCGGCCCGCTATTTTCTTGGCACATGTGGGCCTGTGGGGGATCTTTGTCCTCCGAGTTGATCCTTTGTGATGACAACAAGAGCTTCCACGAGTTGGCGTTCTTGGGGAATTTTCCGTACAACCTTACCGATGATCCCATCTTTGCTTCATCCATGAACAGGATGAAGCCATGAGATGTTCAAAGCGCGCTGTGCGAAAACTGTGCTTGGAACAGAATAACTTCGCATGGGGATGATGGTCGTCATGGCCAGAGAGGAGTCAGAGGCCACGCTCAGGTCGACTGCATCGACTCAATACCTCCGGAATATGGGATTAGACGATGCCGGCTTGATGACAGACGGAAAATGTGCTCCGACATAGCGTTCGTCCTGAGACCTCGAACCGGTCTATCAGGAGTAACTGACAGTCATCGGCTCGAGTCACTTCGCTTCCCTCGGTAATTCTGCATATTGCTTTCGCTTTTCGCTATCTGCCGAAGCCGAATGGACTGTATGGTTGTGTGGATGAGAGGGGCTTGACAAGTCCAATCTGAGACCTGACGCGAAGTGTCTGCGAGCTCGGTGACTGGTTCGAAGCCATTTGGTCTCCGATAATAAGGGGATGACACATTAGCTGACAGGGCTGGTTCCTGAGCTCTATCACTCTCGAGCAGGGCCTTTTGACCGTGACAACAAACAGGAGAGTTTCTAGCGATACCAAAAGATTCCTGGTACGCTTTTCTGAGTCAAAAGGACTAGATTTCTCCTATAGAAATTGCCACGAGGGAATAATTAACAGATATTCATTGAAAATACTTAGTTCTCAAGTCGTAGCGCACATGAGATATATGCTGTTATCGCTTTTGCGAGCTTTCTGTATAAATGGATGCCGTTCAGTCCCAGTCCATCATCATCCTTCCAGGCCCCGAAAGGCGATATTAACAAACGGCTTTCCGGTCTTGATGATCCTGCCAAAATATCAGAATCACGGCTTGCGAGCATACCATGTGCTGAGGGTGGAGATGCGTCGTCTTGTGGTAAGGTATTATCAGACAGTGGGAGATTGGAGTCTTAAACACGCATCGGATCATATGTACCTGCGTGGTCTATTCTCGAATCACAGCCGGTGTAGCTGAAGGAGTCTTAGAATAATTTCCTGTCATGCAAGGGCCAGACGGAGTATTATTGCGATCTCACGATGAGATTGATCTGGTTCTGACTCTCCTTCCCGTCGAATTTCCCCGCTGTGGAGATGTTTGGTACGTGTGGTTTGGTTCGATGGTTGAGGCGTCCCCTTTTCTTTCCAGATCGACTGGATGAGTTAACCCCTGAACGGACGGAGGACGATCAACTAAGCTTCGGATCGGTCACAAACTGACTAACTCGCAGGTTGGCTAACTATGGCATCCTACTTACTCAGGGCTCTTTAATGTCCATTGATGCGAGATATGCGGTGATTATACCCATTTCTCTGCTAGGAGCAGTCCTCACGCACCCCCGTATCTCTTATCCTCCCATCGCGTTTCTCCCTCACCACAGAAAATGACCACCACTCTTCCCTACCGACCGTCCGACGATGCTGCGCATCCATTTCCTCCCGTATCGAACCCTTCGAAGTCCAATGGCTTGCCTCGATTGTCTCCATCCCCCTCGGTTCTCAAGAACAGATCTCCCAGCAGCTCAAGATCCGTGCGTCGTCCCTCCGGAGATCATCTCGCTGTCCCTCGTGCCTCGAGACCCCGACGATGCAAGGCACAATATCCTTTAGACTCATCGGAGCGTCATGTCGAGTACATTCTCGTCGCGTCCTTCCACATTGACCGGGGTCCGATCATGGAACATCAGTATCCAGCGCCCATCAGCGGAGATGAGAGCATGCTCGCGGAACTGATGCTCCCGGACCAGACGCATGTCCGGAGCCAAGACTGGACGATCTTCTTCTTGCACAAGGACACCAGTGCGGAGGGAGAGGACGAGGATTCAACGAAGGCGAAGAAGAAACGGCGGAAAAAGGCAAAGGGCGAGAAGAACCCAGAGCACGAAGCGGACGACAATAGCCAGGACGAAGATACCGATGCTCTCACGGAAGAGAGCAGCGACGACGACGACGACGACGGTGGCGAGGGGCCACCGTTGATGTACGTGCTCAACCTTGTGAATACGAAACAAGACAACACAGTCAGACGGTTCGTTCTCCTGCTCTGCAACCTCGTAACCACCCAGCTAAATCAACCTGTAGAGGTGCGGTCGTCAAGGCTATGGCAATATGTACGCGTCATTCATTTCTTCATATCTATAAGGTGATTCCACTCCGACTTCAATTGGCGATGAATATGTGCTCATACCACTGGCATTACAGCCCTTACTATTGTTGGCGCTGGAGGACTATTTCAAGTCCCCGTATCCCGAGACTCTGGCTTCGCTGTATAATGCCGTCAACGAGATGGATCTGTCATTGATGCCCAAGCTCTCACTCCTGGAACGACAGATATTGCAGGCTAGTAATGCGAAGGATATGTTTATCGAAAAATTCGAGCAGATGATCCAGCAGCGACTGATCGAGGAGGGAGAACCTGTTGAAGACACCCCGCCATCGCCCAAAAAGCCCGCCCCTCGATATGCGCTTCCCCGCGACACCCACGAGTTCGAATCGCGAGTCGTTTACAACGAAATCCCGATTCCTGTCAAAGTGCCAACTGTGATTTGGCCCGAGATTGTGGGAGACTTCTCCCTTATCAAGCTCATCCAGACGTTCTCTACTGTTCATGCCACAGCACCGCAGCCCTTTCCGCTTCACCCTCACTTGACCACCAATGGTTCCTATACGCACCCGATCATCGTCCTTGTCAACGCTATGCTCACCCAGAAACGGGTGATCTTCTTGGGTCACAATCGGCCCTCCGGCGAAGTAGCAGAGGCAGTTCTGGCCGCCTGCGCTCTTGCATCAGGTGGGATCTTACGTGGCTTTACGAGGCATGCCTTTCCCTATACCGACTTGACGAAGATCGATGATCTGCTGAAAGTTCCTGGCTTTATCGCTGGAGTAACGAATCCCACCTTCGCAAATCATCCCGAATGGTGGGACCTCCTATGCGATCTTCCCACCGGCAGAATGAAAATTAGCAGCCACATCGAGCCCGCCCCAGTTACAGAGGGGCTGCTGTATTTTCAACAAAGCTCTTTCCTCCAAAACTACACGCCGAGCCCTCATTCAGATCCAACCGGTGACAACGCCTTCATGGAAGACGTTCAACGGAGTATCACTAACCGCTACGGGGAGAATGCGATCCGTGCGAAATGGCGCGCATACATTACCAAATTCACGCGTGTTGCGGCTGCGTTTGAGGAGACTGTGTACGGAGCGTCGAATCTCTACATCATCGGACCAAACGAGGAGCTATCTCCGGAGAGCCCGAGTGGTGTACAAGCCGACCCCCTAGACCCCACAACGCTACGCGGCCATGGCTATGTGTGGCCCGACGAGGCATCGAAACAGCGAGAGTTGATCGCCTCTGTGTCCCGAATCGAAGGCTGGCGCACGACTCGATCCTACTACTCGTTTATACAGGACATCGCGGCCATGTACTACCCTGCGAGACCAATTCAGAAACCTGACCTGCACCATCACCATGATCGGCTGCGCACGTTGCGGCTGTCTCATGCTGATGCAGGAGCCATCTACCATGCCTTTTCCCACGCTGTCAAGGACTACGCAGGCATATGCCAGCTCCTGACGGTGACGCCAGAAAGCCAAGCCGGTCTGTTCTACATCAGTATGGGCCTATTTCACCCTGATCCGTCTGTCCGTGAAGCAACTGCCGATCTTTTAGATCGAATAGCCGCTCACCCCGCCGGCCGACACTTCTGGGCTCAACTCGGCCGCTTCACTAAACTGGCATACTTCCGGGTCAGACGGGAGAGGGATGCAGCGCAAAGCCCTGTGTCAGGGACGGGGTCGAGTTTCGGGGCGCCGCAATCTCTCATTGCAATTGCCACTGGCAGTGCCTCAAGGCGAAGCTGAAGACCCTGACAAGTATAATGTTCTCGTCAATATTACATATAACGACAGTGAATATATCTATGTGACCATACAATTCTTGGATATCATTTTCATTTTTCTTTCATGTGGGTGGAGAGGTGTATTACACCTCATGTGTATTGATTGTTCCAGGCGATATGGCATGCGATGACATGGCAGTATGATATTTGATGAAGTTATCCAATTCAGTGTTGATACTTGGAATACTATGCAGCATAATGAATGAACCTATTCTCAAAATTCATCCTGGATTCCAGCAATCCATATCATTGAGGCACGAAGAATTGTGTAATGAAAATATGTAGGTGTTATAATTACAATTAAAACTATACCTATAAACATGACTGTAAGATAAACAACAAAGGAAGCAAGAACATGCTCAAGATGCCAAAACCACACTCGCTGTCGTTATCCATACAACCGTGACCCTGACAAATAGCAAAGAATCGACACCACATGATGCCCAAGGAGAGAAAAGAAGTATACAAGACGAATGCGACAAGCGTCGCGACAATCAAAAAAAAAAAAAGAAAGAAAGAAAGAGAATCAATAAACCCCCAGCACCGACATCCCAATACTCAGAGCCACCGTCCACCCGACTAACCGCCAATCAACAGACGCCGGCCCCCAAGCCCCCGACGTCGCTGTCGACTTCACGCTCCCAACGGTGATATTCACATTCGCGAAATTATCGCCACAATGCCGGTTCAGCGCCAACGCGGAGGGGAGATAGGACGTATCGAGCGGCTGGCCGTCCACCTGCGCCCAGTGGCTGAAGATATCCATGCTGGCTTGCAAGCACTCGTTGCAGGTCGGCCAGGGTTCCGCGACGATGGAGGACCCCGCGGGGAGGGAGTAGGTGTCGATATTCTGCGGGGAGGAGGCGTTCGTGGCTGCGTCGACGAAGCAGTAGTCGTTTGTGTCGGGGTTCTTGAGGCAGGAGGCGCGGTAGACGGGCTCGTAGGTGATGAAGCCTGTGTAGGCGTCTGTGACGAGCGGGTTCCCGAGCTTGTAGTCCTTGCCGCAGGCGTCGTCTTTGAGAAGGTTGGTCGCGAGGCGGTTGAAGATGGATGTGCAGGTGTCGACGGACGCGGCGCAGGAGAGGTCGAGGACATGCGAGGTGGCGGTTGCGGAGGTGAGGGTGTGGAAGAAGGAGGTTGAGTCGTGGAGGAGGAGCGAGATGGGGTAGCAGGAGGTGACGGTCGAGTTGGAGAGGAAGGCGTTGAAGAACTTGGGGCAGCTCTCGGCTGTGAAGTTGTTGGAGAGATTGGTGTCGAAGGCTGTCGGCAGCGAGTCGGTGCTGGAGTCTGAGCGAGCGAGCAGTTGGGATGGACTGTTCTCATCAACATCCTCATCGGGGGCGACGAGGATGGGCAGCGTGGCTGCCTCGTCGTCTAGACTGCTCTCGATGACCCAGGTTCCGCCGTATCGGGACTGTCCCTCTTGCTCTCCGTTCCGAGATGCCTCAGTTCGCGATAGGAACATGCCATGAGATAGTGGTTGAGCGACAACTGGAATCGCAGACGCAGAAACTAGCGACGACATAAGCAGTGCGATCAGAAGTGTGACCAGTGTCGAGCATCGAGAGGTCAATTTTGAATTGCCGGCGCATGATGCACTGCAGACATCAGAACGTCTCGGGTCAATTTCCCCCCACTGCGACGGTCTGCTTGACCTATATGGACTAGATTGTAGGAAAGATTTCATATTGGCAGAGAATTGAATGAATGACGTTGCCACAATGGCTTTAGAATTGAACTCAAGGCGACGAAAGAGAGTGTGTCAGCAGAGGCCCGTGGTTATCATGGTCTCTGCAATCCTTGACCTGGTGGTTGGTATATCATCAAGGACAGTAAGAATGAGCGACTATCAGTACAAAACTACCGGAATCATTAATCAAGAAAGGAAAGGAAAAGGATTAAGACTGCCCCTGGCGGAGGCATAAGAGAATCATGATCCAGCCCCCGTTGACAGACAAGAAAGAAGAAAGAAAAGAGTGCGATGTCTGTCTGTCTGTCTGACAGAAAGCAAGGAAGAGCACGAAAATCTTCAGGAGACAACAGCAACAACAAGAATGGAATCGCTGTGTGACTGCTGAGTTTGGCTTTGGACTATTCAGCCTAGGGCACTTGGTGGGACGTATCACGCAGCCAAATCAGTGTTTTCGGGCGTCCGTGGAGACTGTACTACTGTCAGTCCATTAAGGCAGCTGGCTTAAAGCTGGACAATAGCAGAGTGCATAAATTTAGCAGCGACCAATGGACCAAGGGACGGTCTGGCCACGAGTAGAACCTGGACGAGTGGATCTCTTGTCTGCAGCTGTGCCACTGTCATCGTCTCTTCCGCAGAAGTCTAGAAGAGAAGAAAGGGGAATATCTCCGTAGATTTAGAATCCATAGAGCTAGGGCCTATCTATGCCCCTGGCCCATGGCACTGGTCAGTGGACTATGTGTCCAGACTCCATCACGCGACGATCGCAAAAGAAAGCCACTTTCTTTTAAGGTGCGATGATAAGAATGACAATGATCATACATAGTAGCTCGTAGAAAAAAGTCTACAGAGTGCAGATTCACCCCTGACTCAGAAAGCGGAAAGGAAACCAGGACCAAAGTAGCTATCGGTACCATTCCACCAGCCATTCGCCGTCAAGGTACACCATAAGTACATGGCAGTGCGGGCAATCGAGCCGAGCCTTGATTGGCCAATCATGCCGCAAGAAAATTCCCCTCCACATTCAGTCATCCATCCAGATAAGTACCTAGTGATTCATTGTATCACATACAATTGGAGTAGTTGATTTGAGGTTGGACTATCATTACATTATCTGTGTATGATCGAGGCACTCGTCTTCTTTACTGGAATATCACCTTCCTCTACTTGCATAAACGATAATCAACCCTACCATGTCCTCTGACGGCTTGGTACCTGAAACAAGGGTGCTCGCCATTGCGAGTCATGTAAGTCTCTTTATCAGCTCGACTTCAGCTTTGGTTGATGTGATCACAGTTGGAGTACAAGTACTGACGGGAGGAGGCAGGTTGTCTACGGGTACGTACTCTCTGCTGTGTCACTGTACCCCTCCAAGTGCACAAGGATATAGCCTTCTTGTCATCTATATTGTGTACCTTGGCAACATGAATCAATCATGATGAAGTCCGCATCTGTGAGCAGCAACTAATAGCATCAGATATGTTGGAAACAAGATGGCTACGCTGGTCATGCAGTCCTTGGGCTGTGATGTTGCTGCCCTGAATACTGTTCATTTTAGTAATCATCCCAATATTCTTTGTCAGGTCGGGTCAACTGACTTCAACAGGCAACCACACCGGCTACAGGCAGTTCAAAGGCACAAGGTCGACAGCTCAAGAGATCAGCGACCTATATCAGGGTCTCTGCCAGAGCCATCTCACGGACTTTGATGTCATGTTGTCGGGTTATGCGCCCAGTGCTGCGGCAGTGGAGGCAGTAGGGGCTATCGGCTTGGATCTGCAGCGCAAGGCCGAGTCAAGACCTGGCTCATTCTTCTGGGGTATGTTCATTTCTATGGTTTCTTGCATTTCCAGCTAACGATGGGCGAACATACAGTCCTGGACCCTGTGATGGGCGACCAGGGCCGGCTGTACGTCAATGATGATGTGGTGCCTGCATATAAAAAGATCATCCATCACGCTGATTTGATTCTCCCCAATCAGTTTGAAGCCGAGTAAGGATGCTGCCATTGCCAACTTCGCTCTGGTACAGTCGTCATTGACCCATCACCCTCAGAGTCCTCTCAGGAATCAAGATCACCTCCCTCAGCGCCCTCGCCGAGGCCATCACCGCCATCCACGCCTCCTATTCAGTCCCGCATGTCATCATCACCTCCGTCCAGATCTCCCAATTCTCCTCCTCCCCGGCAGCCACCTCAGACAGCCTAACCGTCATTGGCTCCACCACCAAATCCGACGGCTCCCCTCGTCTCTTCCGAATAGACGTCCCCGCCCTGGACTGCTTCTTCAGCGGCACGGGCGACATGTTCGCGGCTCTGACGGTCGCCCGGCTCCGCGAAGCCGTCTTTGCGGCCGACGCCACCCTCCGCGCGACCAAGTCGTGGGTCTCCCCGGATGACGTCCAAGCCACTGACCTGCCTCTCGCCAAGGCCACCCTGAAGGTGCTAGCGAGCATGCACAGTGTCTTGGAAAAGACTCTGGAAGCGCGTGATGCGGAGCTCCGCGCCGCTGCGTCTGCGGAGGAGAATGAGCCGGGCTTGAGTGAGGAGGAGAAGCAGAAGAGGGAGTATTTGCGGCGGACGAAAGCCGCCGAGGTGAGGGTTGTGCGTAACGTGCGGTTCCTGCGGGAGCCTGCTGTTGAGTTCCAAGCGCAGGAATGGAAGAAGGAAGATTTGCCTGCGGGACTTCAATAGTCAAGTGCATGGTGTAGACGTATAGACGTATTGATAGACTTAAACTCATGAATAGAATGTATTATGAGTCGCACGGCAATGCCATCATTTTCAGTATCATCAAAGTCTATCTATATCATAAATCAATTCGTTAAATCAAACACCCGTACTTCCAAACCCACCCGCCCCACGGACACTCTCCTCCAACTCCTCCACAACCATCACCTCGGGCGTATAGATCTAGCCACCATCAGCATCAACACACCCAGATATGACGAAACAAAAGACTCACCCGTTCAAGCACAAGCTGCGCAACCCGATCCCCCACCTTAACAGTAAAATCCACATCCGAAAAATTAAACAACAGCACCTTCACTTCACCCCGGTAATCAGCGTCAATGACGCCGGCCCCGGTATCGATGAAGTGCTTCGAGGCGAGGCCACTTCGGGGGGCAACGCGGCCGTCTGAATCGTCAACTCATCAGCATACATTCTCCGGGAAGAGGAGAGGAATCGGATGGTGAGAGGGGGTGGTGTACATGTCCCCTCCGGCACGGCAATCGCCAGCCCGGTGTCAACCAGTGCTTTACCCTTGGCCGGGATGACGGTCTCCTTTGCGCTGTAGACGTCGTAGCCTGCGGCGAAGGCGGACCCGCGGGTGGGTGCTTGTGCGGACTCGGTGAGCTTCTTGACGAGGAGGGGAGGGAGGGGCCGAGAGATTGAGGTGACGGCGGGTGCTGTGCCGGTGGTCATGTTGTTGGTGTTGTCTGTGTTGGAGTCGGGTTTTGTTCGTTTGGCGAGGGGAGAGGCGGGGAGAGAGGGAGGTTCGTGGGCGGGAGCTGTGGACTGTTGCGGTGGTGGTGTGGTCTCTTTTGTCATAACTTTAACAAAGATTGCAAGATGTTGAGGAACGAGGCTGAAAGATCGAAGAGAAAGAAATTGCGGTGTACCTGTCCAGAGCTATGATAATTGACCAGCAGATGTACGTATGGTAGGTTAGACGCGTCTGGCGGTGTACGCGCACCGCGTTGTTAATTGGCTTGGCATGTTTGCTCTTTTTGTGATAATTAACGAGCCTAAGGCACAAACTTCAGAAGTACTATGTACCGAGCTCCGACGCCCCGCAAGCTCGGGCCAGAGAAATGGGGTTGGTGCCAATTGGACTGTTTTGCCTCGGTCCGTAGCTGGTGTCGCTGAGCTGGAGCGTGCCCTGCATTCTTATTACCGGCGATATTTCTGTCTCCAGGTTCCTTCGATCTTTCCATACCGGTTCGGATTGAAACTGGGGAGAAGGAATCTTCAAATTAACCATTGTCAAGTTTGACAGTTGGCGTCATGGCTGGAGCTGTACGCCAACCGATTGATATCCCGTCGCTGGAGCGATACCTCGACCAAAACGTGCCTATCATCAAGACGCCAATTGATGTGAAACAAGTAAGTCGTCAATACCTATTCACCCAGTTGATGAGTTAATAATTGCAACAGTTTGGCTTCGGGCAATCTAATCCCACCTACCTAATCACCGGCTGCGACAAACAACAATATGTCCTACGCAAGAAGCCTCCAGGCAAGCTCCTGTCCAAGACGGCGCACCAAGTCGAACGAGAATACAAGATTATCCATGCGCTAGAGAAGACCGACGTCCCTGTCCCCAAAGCGTACTGTCTCTGCGAGGATAGCAATGTGATCGGCACTCCGTTCTACATCATGGAGTTCCTGGACGGGCGAATATTCACGGACCCTGCCATCCCCGGCGTCAGCGCAGAAGAGCGAACCGCACTGTACGTTTAGCCTCCTTCTTTACAACCGGACAGATACTAAGGGGCGCAGATGGCGCGATGCAGTCCGCACATTAGCCAAGTTCCACCGGGTCATCCCCAAGTCCGTCGGCCTGGAGCGATTCGGCAAGCCGTCCGGCTTCTACGACCGCCAGATCGCCACCTTCACCGCCGTGTCCAACGCGCAGGCACAGGCCGTCGACGTCGAGACCAAGAAGCCCGTCGGTGAACTGCCCCACTTCATGGACATGGTGCGCTTCTTCTCCAACAAGGCCACCCAGCCGCTCGACAGAGGCACCCTCGTGCACGGCGACTACAAGATCGAT